ACTGGGTCTATCTTCATAAACAGGCCGGCCTTCTGGGCGCAGGTGACATGAAATGCCCTGTAACAGTTAGCTTTGTGGCACTGAATGGATGCCCCCCTGCCTTTCTGCTTACACAGGTAGCAGGTGAGCTTCCAGCGAGCAGGAGGGATGTTCTTGACCCCCTCAACAGGCTCCAAAAACACAGTGTTGGCAAAGCACACCTCCGGGATCCATATGGCACAGACAACGTGGGCCCAACGTCCATCACTTGTCTGTTTGAAGGCACCTCCTCGGTTGGGACAGAGCACACAGTCTACAGGACGGGAAGGGGACTGCAGGCAGCAGCGGCACAGCCACTGACCCTCCGGTACGTAGGGCACACCGTAACACTCCTGGTGGACGGCCAGGTTGCAGATGTCACAGAAGAGGATGACATTACTGTTCAGACATTCGTCATCCAAGCAGACGCAGCAGAAAGCATCCTCGTCAACGGCACTCTGGGACAGCGCCTGGTTGCGGGACTCCAGGATGGATTCCCTCTCCAGGCGGTCAATCAGCAGTTCAAATGTGTCTGGAGGTACAGAGGCATGGCCGTCAGTCACCCTCTTTTGGTTAACCATCTCCAGCCAGGCCAGGTCCTCCTCGTCCATGTCGTACTCAGCCACACTGTCCTGTTCCTCTAGTGACTTTTCTATGTAACGATAATAGGCTGCTGGGAGAGGAGGCGCCTCAGAGGGGCAAACTGAACTCAGCACACGAAAGGTGGGCTCAGGCAGAGGGCTTTGTTGGGACGGGTGCTGGAAGGAATTAGCAGGTCCTGTGTGCTGCTGTGAGCCAGACCGTTGGTTCTGGTGAGACGTATTTTTCCCACTCTTCCTGCTTTTACTGTTTGAGGGTTTCCTCCACGATCTAGTTTTACTCTGTGTTTGTTCACTGTTCTCCTTGTTGCTGTTGCACTCAGCAATATCCTGGGCCATCATCTCGTCCTCCGTAATAACCGGCAGAGGATCTGTGATGTTAATCCGGTGGAGCCTTCCCTCTAGGTCCACTTCCACTATTTTCTGTGCCTGAGCGTACGTCAAAGTTTCCCTGGATGGAGAGAGCTGCAGTCTGTAGGGCGAGGGGGACCGCAACTGGCCAGATGACCCCCTGCCCCTCCCTCTCCCTCTGCCTCGACCCCTACCCATGTTGAGTCCGCTAACAACTGTGTCACATTCCCACCTCCTCACCTTCCGCATGGGAGTTTACACCAGCTCCCTAACAGACACAAAGAAAGAACAAATATTGAACGCAGTGAGTCAGGTTTCTGTGTAAACACTTTCTACTTTTGTGCAATTGTCTATTAATATTCACAGTAGCTGTTGTTTTTGTCATTATGGCATGTTTTCGTACCATGTGACCACTGTCTCAATCTGAATCTGATTTTACTGCAGAATGACTACTTCGTTTATTATTAAGTGTCAGTGTTGGTAGTATTATTGTGCTATTTTAATTGAAAACCTATGTCATGCCATGAAAATATTATTATTATTCACTGACCGGTGAATACATAATTTGTTCAGATATCCAGCTGTCCCAGATTACCACACACATTGGGAGCCACTGATAGACTGTGTGTTTGTATGTGTTCCTGTGCACAAGTTAATTTTTAATCACACCAAGGATGTTCATTATTTTAATTTTACCTCCTTCCAATACAAAGTATATTTTCTTGAGATAAAAAATGCTATGTTGTAAGAGAAAGAAGCCAAAACCTGTGGTTGAAATGTTATAAACAATTCCTTGTAAAATGTTGCCATTGTAACTAATACATTAGTATTAGTAAAAATCTGTTATACAAATTGTTTTATATTCTATCAGTGTGCCTGCAACAAATGCCGTTTTACCCTGATTAATTATATTCCTTTACTGCTGCCAATGTAAGGAGTGCCATCTTATTTTGCCGTTTTGTTAAGATCTGTTAATTGTTTTGTTTTTGTAATCCTGGAGCCAACGGTTACTATGGAAAAGGGGTCAACTCTCCTGCTTTAAAAACACAACATGTTACAAGTACTCTTGCTGCACAAACACAACCACAGTAAGTTGAACTGCTTGCATGCGTGCAGCTCAGCTGTCTCTCCATTGGTCCAATCGGGAGTCTGTAACATTGCAACATCTCCCTTCACCCAATCAAATGCCAGCATTCTCTATTTTTTTCCTTGTTGCTGTGCGTAGTTAGGTTGAAGAGCGCTAAATACCAACCCGAGTATCTAACATCTGTCAGCCATTTTAAGCGCACAACAGCACAGACAACATTTGGACTGCAAGTTGATTAGCAGCCCAATTATACATGCCAACAACAACCAGAAAGCTGACGCACTATATGCACTGTGCCTGAATGCATAAATTAATTGCATGTATACATTAGATCACGGCACTGCAAACGTGTAACGTTTCAGGTATCGCTTTGTACTCCAGACCCCTGCAAAAAGATTGTCTCTCGCTGATGTGATAACGTTAACGTTACTCGGTCGGACAGGACACACAGAAGTCGTGTAACAAAACGGCAGATTTCCTAAGCAGCCCTGAAACATGCTGAACATATCAGATTGGTTTACCTTGTGAAATCGTCCTCTGCAGTGCGAGTGTCAAATCAGAATAACTGCACCCTAGCTAAATGTCAGCTAGTGACAGACTACAGCCAAGGCGGACATGCTAGCCGTTAGCTTAGCTAGCCGGTAATTTCAGGAGCGATAGCGTCATCTTCACCGCTTCACTTCTCCGCTGTGACTTCGGCCAAACACACAAACTCGACCCGGTTCCATAGTTATGGTTTAAACCTTTCAAACGATGCGGGTTCACAACTTAAGGGCAGCAAAATCCCGAAGATATCAAATTAATGTTCCTTGGATGAGGCTAAATATTCAGTCAAGATGGCTTGAAAAATACGCCCCTTTGGAAAAAAAACACCTCAGCCAATTGCAGGTCGCCGCTTCACCGCGAACGCAACGCGCACCAATTTGTGATTGGTCAAAGCCATAAACCGAATTCATCGAACTCACTCTGGAGCTCATAACAGAAAGAAGCGATGATAAAAACAACGACACATATATTGCGCGCCTTACGGCCTCGTCTTCATTTCCCATAGAGCCCATATTTAACCTGTTGTACACCTGCTATTTCTGAAGCTTGTAATTTAAACAATCCAATATCAAAATGTAATAACCACACTGTAAAAAAAAAGAAAATATGTCCTGCTGATACATTAGCATAATAATATATAATTATTTTCCTTGGAATTAGTAGTATAACAGAACCATCCAAATTAGTTTTCAGACGGCTTTTAACTGTATCACAGTCTTCAGCAGCAGATGGAGTTTGCTCAGATGTCATGGAGGTGGATATGTTGACATGCAAACTCAGTCGCTGTTATGGTTTCATCCACAGCACTTAAAGACATTTCATCCATGTTGGTTTAAAGGTTAGATATGAAAGTTTGTAATTTCATTGAAACCTTCCCCCAAAAAGCTTGCAAGTGTACCTTGAGCTTGGTCTGTTTTATCAAACATTTAGATTTCAAAGCCTCATTCAGAATACCAGTAATACATTTCTGTATGTCATGACCTCAGAATGTTGTGCTTTCAATAATATTGAAACGGACCTGACTCAGTATTGTACAGCTGAGCTGACAAAAAACACTTCATACTGTTATGGGTTTAAAGTCTGTCAAAGCGATCATTTCTGCTAAATTAAGTTCCTCCACTGGCAGGAGTCGATGCACTTACTTCAAGTCACAGGATGATCACGTGCCAGTGCTGAGATACTGGCATGTCCACCATGCTGGCAGGCTTTTGTTGAATTTATTCACATTATGACTCAATTTATAATCTGCACGATGTAGCTCAACTGCGAAACATAGACTTCCATTACAACTTGAATCATCTCTAACGGAATAATTTGTTAAATATTAAATGTTATATATTATACTGTTATGCATTAGTTGCATAACTTGCTCTAAAATTATAGCTGTCAGTGTTTTTAACCTGCAGCCATTTATATGAAGTATAGCCTATTGGTTCGGGTGTTTGGACTGAGCAAGCTTGGTATGCCTGCCTGTATACTTGCTATTTCCTCCTCCCTGTAGCTTTAAACAGATTGGTAGATTTTATCTGTTCCCAATGCCATAATAAAAGATTCTTACTTATTCAACATTTTACTTCTTTTACTTAGCCTCCAACATCTTTCCAAGGTCATCACACTTCTACACACTCACAAAGATAACATGTTTGGTTAGGTCTGCATGAATATGTTCTCTCAATATGTTTTTTCTCTCTCTGCGTTATGATTATTCCTCAGGGCCTTTTTGTGGTGTGATTTTATTTGTCCTGAGTGCTGTAATGCTGCAAAAGCTGATGTCACCACTTGCTATCCGTCTTATACTGAGCACAAACATCTCCAAATTAATCTAATACACATGTAACATTCATACAGGAGTCACCTATCAGGCCAGCATGATCAGATCACAGTCCGATGTTATCAAATTTTTACCTTTTTATGTTCATATATAGGTGATGTGCTGAAAATAAAGATGCCAAACATTGGCAAGGTAAACATGTTTTAATGTGGTATATAAAGGCAAAATTAAAAGTATAAAAAAATGACCGAAGGGTTAATCTATATATGCTTTATGTATGTAATTCATTGTCCTAAAATGGCTTCAACACTTCTACTTACATAATGACTTTTTAAAAATAAACTTTAGATTTCTGTAAGTAAGATATACAGTGTGCGACATCTATTCACCTTTAGGCACGGCTAATATATATATACAGTATATATATAAAAACAAACCTGTGATGCTGTTCTATGACAAGATGATTTAACTGATGTTTATTTATTCATTTATATTATTAAGATATTCTTCAGTGATTTTTAGTATAAATTTAATTGTGTTCCACAGTGGAAGTTTTATGTTCGAACCTCATACTACTTCTCTCCACCCCTTCAAATCTTTCCCACTTTCTCCACCCACAAAAACTTTGTTGGCTGTCTTAGCACATTTGAATCTGAAAAACTTCAGATCACACTGCATCACCGTCGAGCTCACTGGGGTCTGAAATCTGATGCGCTAATCCAGCTCTCCCATCTTGGACTCTTGTCAGGTAAGGACAGCTATCATATGTACTCTCCTAAATGACTGTCAGTGACTAATTAATGTGTTGATTTGATTCACATGTTTGAATTTGTTTAAAAAATGTCTTGATACACATTTATTACATTTATCCATGTGATTCATCTGATGCACAGCCAACCACTAAGTGTCATTTTATAACTTGTAGGATGCAAATCAGGAAAATCAGGATGCTGTTTGTCTTCTTTGTCTTGTGTGCTGGGTTTTTCCTGGATACGGGAGTGTGCACTGCAGGTGAGGAACAATTTTTTATCACAGGTTTTTACTTATGCAGAAATAATTTTAACACACCCAGTCAGTATAAGAGATTAAACCAAGCTTGTTAGCTAACACTGACCAATTTACAACCTCAAACCATGTTGAAAGTGACTGAATGTGCATTGATGTAAAAGTTGGTCTGATTGACAACATTCGAAAGTGCTGTTTTGTTTGTAATTCAAAGTTTGACCCGGTCACTGCATTTGTAATTCTGTGTGATGGCAACTTGCTTTTTTCTGTGCCAAATTCTTCATGTTTTCACAGCTGGATTTGGTCGAAATTTCTGAGACTTGACGAGACATAAATACATAAGCAGTAAGCTCGGATTAGTATCAAAGTGTAGCGGCACATCCTGTCCAACTCTTGTAGAAAAACAGAAAAGGAAGCAAGCCAGTTGACACTCTCACAAAAAACAGTAATAAATCAACTGTATGGAGCAAACAAAGGCCCTGTGTTTCAGACTGGCCAAAAAGTGACAGCGGCTTGAAGAGCTTGTATACGTGTCATCTTTTGAAAAGGAGGATCTGATGGTTGTCAGGATCACCCTGTGGTGATGGATCCCCAAGGCCTTGGCCGAAATCAAGGCTTTTGATACTCTTTGACTGCCCTCCCATCTCACAGTGCCATGGCATTCAGAGTCTTTGAATTAAAACACTGCTCTAAATAGACTGTGGTGTGCAAATCGTTTTCAAGTAGGCGAGTAGAGTGGCCAGATCTCTAGGATACCGGAAACCAGTTGTGACCAGAAGGTCAATACATGCACCCCGAAATTCACCTCAGACATCTGCATGTCAGAGCAAAGTGATGGCCTATACAGAAAGGAATCTTTGCTTTTTTAGGGTGGACATCAGCTATGAAAAGCCTTTTTCAGTCAAAATACAACAATGCTGAGTTGCTATCTTAGCGTAATGTAATTCCATTACTTGCTGCTCCCTTATACCTTTCTAACTTTTCAGTTTACATAGTCTAGGGAAATGGTGCTTGTCTATCTATCTATCTATATATATATATATATATATATATATATATATATATATATATATATCTCAAAAGAGAAGAACTAGGAAATACAAATCGAAATTATATAAACAATAATAGAGTCTACTTCTTTGTGATACCGTACTAAGGCACAGCAGTGGTTTGAGCTAAATTCTCGCATCAGAAAAGTCAAAGGATAATCAAAATTGTCATGATTCATCCTCTGGAGACTGTGAATGTCTGCAAAACATTTTATGCCAATCCATTTAGTGGATGTTGGGATATTTCCTTGGATAAGTGAAATCTAAGACCACTGATTTATTTCCCGTCATATCTTCTTTCCAGTTTTTATAGACACAATAAACGGTGCTTGTATCTAAATGATATCATTCTAATGTGTTTCTTACTTGTCCCCTCAACATCAGTGCAACCAGAGCTGAGAATCACAACAATAAAGGTAGTTAAGTTAATTTGTTTCTTTTGAGCATGGTAAAGGTTAATACACAAATTAAGATAAAAAACATTTCACTGACTTTTTACATATTTTCTTTTAGCAAGAGCCATATGCAATGCCCAAAGGCACACAATTGGAGGGGTTTTGCATGGACCTGCTGTCTGAAGTAGCCAAGAAAGTGGGCTTCAAGTACAAAGTGCAGCTGGTGAAAGATGGTTCATACGGCAGACAGGATGAGAACGGGAACTGGAATGGGATGATTGGAGAGGTGGTGAGAGGCGTGAGTACATGCAAACTGACATTTGGATGGGTCAAAGGGAAGCAAATCACCATGCAAAAGCTTGAATTACTCAGCTGGCATCTGTGACTCACAAGTGACACATTCAAAATGAAGTGAATATGTGGTGTGAACAATATCACCAGGGTTGTTGTTGCAAAATAAAATCTCTTAAAGAAGCTATTTATGCATTACCTACAGGAGGCAGACCTTGCGATTGCTCCGTTGACTCTCACAGCAGCTCGCGAGAAAGCGGTGGGGATGACCAAACCGTTCATGCAGACAGGAATCAGCATCCTGCTGAGAAAGGACATCTCAGAGGGAACAAGATTCTTTGATTTCCTGACCCCCTTTACAGCTGAGACTTGGGTCGGTATACTCATTGCCTACCTGGGGACCGCTGTTTGCATCTTCATAGTTACCAGGTTGGTGATGTTTCATTCATTTAAAAAGGTGATCATGATGATTTATGTATTGCTATTTATTGGTGTGAAGAGGATTTAAATATGAATTATACTTATTGTCTATGGATATTTTCACATTACTGCTGGCAGTGGAATCCTCTTGAGTCCACTCACATTAATATGTAATATTTTTATGCAAATGCAGACTCAGCCCATATGAGTGGAGTCAGCCTCAGAGTGAGCAGAACAGATTCAGCCTTGTCCACAGCCTGTGGTACACAGCTGGAGCTCTGACTCTACAAGGTAAACACTAACAGCAAAGCCAGACACTTTGTATGCCACCAAAGAGAAAGCAGAATCTCTAGGCTTAATGGATTTGATTGTTTATTTGTTTCTTTTCTGCAAAATTCTCTCTTTCTTGGCTTTGTGACATTTTCATTTTTACTGTCTTCTTTTTGTGTGGTCAGGTGCTGGTCCTCACCCCAAAGCTCTTTCAGGACGCGTCATCTGCTGCAGCTGGTGGTTATTTACTGTCGTCCTCCTGGCTTGTTATTTCTCCAACCTCAGCTCCTCTAAGACCGCTGAGTCCACTCACCTGTCCGTGAAAGGGTTTGACGACTTGGCCAATCAGGACATGATTGAGTACGGCTGTATGGCTGGATCTTCCACCCTTGCCTTCTTCAAGGTACAGACATCAGATCACGTATGGATCCCCATCTTACTGCTGTTTCTCTAATTCTGTTTTTCCTTCATTCAGAATTCAAACAATCCAGTGTACCGCAGAATCTATGAACACATGGAGAGAACTAAGAGTTTTGTGTCATCTATGGACGAAGGGGTCCAGCGTGCAAAAGAGGGAAACTTTGCCTTTATTGGAGAGTCTGTTTCTTTGGACTTGGCAGTAGCACGCTATTGTGAACTGGTCAGAGCACATGAAGTCATCGGCATGAGGGGATACAGCATTGCTGCCAACCTAGGTTAGGCTACTCATTTCATTAAACAATGACAGTTAGAAACTACTTATTAACATTAAACTTTTTAATTTCCTCAAGGTTCACCCATCATAAAGAACCTCAGTGTGGCAATTCTACAACTGAGCGAGGCAGGGGAGCTGGCTTACCTGCGAAGCAAGTGGTGGGCCAGCAGCTGCATAGCAAACAAGGCCAAGTCTTCAGCTGTGCAGCCGCACAGCCTCAAGGGGATGTTTCTGGTTCTTTCCCTGGGCCTGGGGCTGGGAGCACTGCTGGCTGTCCTGGAGCTCACCTCCAAGAGCCGCAGAAGTGCAGCTGAGCAGAGGGTGTGTGAGAGTGCATTAACAAATCACATCACTTCTGTCAGGCGAATAAAACATCCATCTCCAAGGTGTTAACTTTTCCGACTCTTAATCAAACAGCCTTGTTTTTTGGTCCACACTGTGTATTTGTGTTTATTCAGTAGGAACTGTTTCGTAAGCTTGAAGGCTGTAAAGTTTGCTCAACCATTTAAAGATAATATAATCTGTTTAAAGCAACTGTCATTTACCAAATTGTTTTCACATCTGCTGTAGGAAACCAAAATGCAGATGACAGCCAGACTCAGACAGTTATGCTGCATCCACATAATGATTTGATTTGTTTCACTACAGTTTATACTTATGTCCATCCCACAGAAATCCTGCTGCACTGTGATGACTGAAGAACTGAGTTTGCGCTTGAGGACCAGCAAAGCAAACAGACCCCAGGAAAATGTTGACAAAGAAAAAGCATAGAAACATTCTGGAAACATGTTGTTTTAACAAACTGAAAACTTGACTCATTTTTTTTAACTTTTAGTTCTAGAATTTGTTCTAATGTTTGACAGAAACATTAACTTAATTGTAACTTTTAAATGTTCTAACCTGTAAAGATATATCAGATAAAAAAGAAACTAAAATTACATTTTAAAGTAAAAAAAACTCACATTTTAATCAAAATAATCAATTTATTGTTTTTCAATTATGAACGCTACAATTTCAATGAAAAAGCAAACCGTATACTTTAAATATTATAAAAAATAATTATTAAAATGATCATTGATTATACTTAAAAACTGAAAAGGTGACTAACAAATAGTGCTCATGGACTTGTTATTTTTTTTAAGTTACTTAGGCTACTTTTTTATGACTGCATCATGCTGTTTTGTACAGTTGGCAATGGCATCACATAATTTCAACAATTTCTTTTAAAACATTGTTACATACATGAAAACTGTGTTGATTGTAAACATTCCAGCATCATGCATACAACAGTGTGGATTGTAAACATTACAGCAGGCCTAAATTAATAAAAACGGTCTAATTGTGTAATTCTGCGTGGTGTCTTCCCATTTATCTAGAAAGAAAATCAGAACTGCTTTGTGACTGCATCCCCCTCACCGTCCTCCCACACCTCCTTTTTGTTTTTGTGGTTTCTCTCTTTCTTCTTCTTCTGAAGGACGTTGTTGTCTTTGGAGTCACAAATCTAAACTGTGAACTAATCTAAAATAAAAATAAAAACTGTGAAAACAAATGCCATGATTTAACACAGACACTTTTGTATCCGCAATTCTTATTTTACTTCTGCAAATGTGAATCACACATCATCTATGACTCACCATTTAGAAAAAGTGGCGATTTACAGCGGATCTCTCTCATTCTTTGGTCAAAAAGGGCCTTCATCTCCCTCTGCAGGGTGCCCTCACGTTGCTCTGCCCCAGCTGGCACACAGGAGGGCACAAACTCCAGGCTGTCAGTGCTGCCGCCACTGTTGGATGTGCTGTCAGACAGGCAAAGGCCGTTGGGAATGGGCCTTACCTGGCTGCTGTAGCTGCTACAGTTGTGTGCTTGCTGTGTCTGCCAGTTGAAAGCAGGCTTGCGGTTCACCATTGGCGTCTGATGAGAGGTGTTCTGTTTTCGGGGGCAACTACGTGAGCGGGCCTTTGTTCGTATTGGTGTGGATGGTCGGGGGGTGGCTGGAGCCTCTAAGGTCCGTCTCACCCTGGCAGGGGACGATGGAGGGATAAGTGGATAGGATTTGGCTTCAGGCTGGAGCAGAGGCTGTGGCACGGGCTGAGGCTGAGGGAGTGAATCTGTCTGACTCTGAGTTTCTGGTGGTTGCTCAGGGTCAATGGCAATGTCCTTATCCGGCTCTGGTTCTGTTGGTAATTCCTCAGATTGTTCAGGCCGCTCAGGTTCAAAAGTCTGAACTGTCTCCTGCTCAGCACAGCTTGACTCTAGTGATTCTTCAGGTTCAGTCTCTAACTCTTCTTGAATTGGATTTTGGCTTTCCACAGCAGGATCATCAGGACAAGGAGCCTGGGAAGAGGTGTCAAGGTCAAAGCTATCAGCTTTCACACAGGGAGCAGCCCCCATGTGGTGGGAGTCAGTGGAGGCCATCCGGCTGAAGATCCCTCTCCTTGTCTCTGGTGGTTCATGAATTTTAACTCTGTGAGCTCGCCTCACTGGCTCACTCATGGCCCCTTTGTGGATGGCAGCCTTGGCTGCTGGCCCTTGTGCCAGAGGAGACATTTCCCCATTCCTGCTGTCCTGAGAGATGGTGTCCAGATCCCTGCGGAAGTACAGACCACGTCCATCTTCTGAGGACAGGACAGAAAAGTCTAGAGAAGGCTGCTTTTGATGACCCTTTATATGCCTCTGGGCTGCTTTTTGGATGTGCTTTCTGGCCGCTTGCACCGCATTTGTGGGTTTGCTCTGTTTCACAAAGGACACCAAACGTTTTAAGAGAAGAGCTGATAGATGAAGCTTGACAACAAGAAAATTATATTTGTGAGTTTATTTAGAGTAGCTTACTTTTCCTGTTATGTCATTGATGGAGACATGAACAAAGATGGACGACTCCGCCATACCTTCCAGGTACACATGTCGATAACCTACAAAATTTGCATTAATTTGCATTTCCTGTTATAACCTAAATTTCATGCATGGGGATGACATTTTTGGAAATATGTTTATTTGCTTTCTTGCTGGGAGCTAATTAACATCTTATGACTTGTTTGTTCGATCACTACAAAATCTTAAGTCTACAAATGACAAGTTATCGTTTAACAAAGGTTTATGTGTTGAACTATTTCTTGGCCAATTGCAGCAACTTCCTGCAGTGTTGTCTTCATGTTAAGAATCCAGGAAGTTACTACAGGATACAACTTATTTAGTAGTAGAGTTTTTGCTGGTTCTTTTGGAAAGGGCTAACCTAATGGTGCTTTCAGACCAAAAGCAAAGCGAGTGTTCGGGGCGGTGAGTTTACATTCAGAGTCAATGCAAAGATGCGTAGAGCCGCGATTTCCTTTCGGGCGGCGCGAAGGGGGCGTGCCGGCGACGCAAAGACAATGCGAAGGAATTCGTGTGAGTTGAATATTTTCAACTCAAGTGAGAAATTCACATGAAGCTGAGTCGTGATAGCCTACAAACGTTGAGATTGTCCGTATGTCACGACAGCTTTAGAGCGTTGTGTGGAGAGGGTCAGGCAGAGCGGGCGAACTTGGGCTAGAGGAGCAGGGAGCAGCGCTCCAGCTTTTGGACAACTAAACACCAGTGGTCGGACTGGATTATGCTCTGACAACTACGCCGTTTGCTCGAGGGAGGAGCTCGGAGTAAACTCCTTTTATTAAATTAGCTTTTTACTTTAGTTTCTGGGATTACAATGTTGATTTATCTTCACTGGAGCTTCTCAGCAGCTAGATTCCATGCACATCCGGTTCCAGTGTTGTTGTCAGTGTCGTTTGGCACTACTTCATATTTATATAAAAACCAGACAAAACTGGACATTTCTGGGAGAAAAGAAAGCGAGGAGGTTGAACTACCTGGTGAGTTAAGAAAACATGTGTATGTAACTTTATTCCAGCTATCTGTCTATGAAGATTCTCAGTCATCCAGGTCATAGTTATCCAACGAAGGTTAAAGTCAAGGGCAACTGGACTTGGTTGAAGATACTGGAAGACGTTTCGTCCCTCATCCAAAGGACTTCTTCAGTTCTGACTGACTGGCAGGGAAACTCAGCTATTTAACCTCAGTGGGGTCGTTTGCCAGGATCGTCGATACTGCTGGTTTGTTAGTATTCCTGGTTGCTGTAACGACAGTCATTACAGTCATTAGGACTACCTGAGGCCAAGACTGAATGACCATCGTTGGTATCTTCACCTGAGGCCAATAGGTTACGTTTGTTGAGTTTCCTGGGAAGTGATGAAAGGACAGCATTGTAAGTGGGGGATAAGTGGTGGCGTAGACCCCCTCCTCTGTTCAATGACGGCTTCTCGACCCTGGTGTAGATGGCTTCCTTGACACCTGTTTCAAACCATCCATCTTCTCTGTCTAAAATGTGCACCTGGTGGTCCTCAAACGAGTGTCCTCTGTCCTTCAGATGTAAATAGACTGCAGAGTCTTGACCTGAGGAGTTGGCCCTTCTGTGTTGAGCCATGCGTTTATGTAGTGGTTGATTAGTCTTCCCAATATACAGGTCTGTGCATTCCTCACTGCATTGGACTGCATACACTAGATTGCTTTTCTTGTGTTTGGGTGTTCGGTCTTTGGGGTGTACCAGCATCTGTCTTAGTGTGTCCTGAGTTTCTCTGATACTCCAGACACGTATGGAATCACAATGTTGTTGCGTTTGACCTTCTTTTCCTCCTCCCCTGTAGTTTTGTTCTTCTTGGATCTTGTGGCTGTTTTCACAAAGGTCCATTTAGGGTATCCACAGGGTTTAAGTGCCCCCTTCAGGTGGTTCTGTTTATTCTAGCTATCGTTGTACTTTACTGTGACCAAGTTAGCATAGCATAGCCCTGATCGATCCAAACTCCATTCAGAAAACAAACATTTTAGAAGTTGTTGTCCTGCTGTCTTCATGACAGAGCTGACCACTGACACCTGACAAAGCATGAATTCATATGTTTAACAAATCTACATCATAAAGTAGTTATTTCGGCATCAGTTTGATCCGTTTATTGCTATTTAATCACAGCAAAATGTTTACTTTGGGTTCATACAGCTGTAACAATGGCAAGTTGTGTTTATTCGCGCTATCGCGTTGTTTGTGAACACTCCAGGGATGTCCAGCGATAAAACCCCCTGCGAGGAAAGCGTGGATTAAATTCGCGTTTGGTCTGAATGCACAGTAACTGTTTCTCCCTGTTTCCAGTTTCTATGCTAAGCTAAGCTAACTGACTTTGCTGTAGCCTCATTGATCTGACACACATGAGAGTAGTATCAGCCTTCTCATCTAACTCTCTGAAAGAGAGATTAGAGAAGATACTTTGAAAAAAAAACTTGCACACATAGACTTTGCATTTTTGTGTGTATGAAAAGATATCGTATTATGTAATTTACCTGGCATCATACTGCGGAAAGCAACAGTCCTCTGTCCAATGAAATCTCGTCCAATAGGATCATGATCCCACACTTCGAAACGCACCAGGGCGATCTGCGGCATTTGAATGTTGAAGACGAGGGTCTCCTCCCACATTGGGTTGAAACCTGAGTGACAGTAGAAGGGAAGGTACACAGATTGAACTATAGGAAAGTCGACTGTCTTGTATGAGATTTGAATTGTAAGGTGTGTTTTGTGCACATACCATTATCATCCACCACCCTGGTCTGCTGCTTGGAACAATCAACAGGTATACCGATTATCTCAACCTCAACAAAGGGATCGATAATCTGAAAGAAAAAAGATATTTTTAAAAGGTTTGCCAGGTGTCTCAATAATAGATAATGTCTGCAATATGTTGGCCTCACCTCTCCTCTGTCCCCAAACACTGAGTCTTTGGGTTTGGGAAGCTGCTGCCCACTAATGATCTTTAGCACTAGCTGAGTCTTTCTGTGTCCTGGTAGCGGATCCTCCAACATGGGGTTAAAGGCGGCTGAGAAAAAAGAAGAACTTTGACTACCCCTTCACAAAGCTACCATTAACTCACAATCTGCATATCCACAAACCTTTACACATGCACTTTGGCCTCAGAATATATCCACAGTTTCCATTGCTTGAGAACTTGGCTCGGTTGAGTTCAAGCATACGGCCCTCTGTTTGATAATTCATTGCAACTAAAATGAAACATCAACATACACATAAATGAAACGCTGCTGCAATACTAAGTATACCTCTCATTGTCATTTTAAAAAGTGCAGTCTCCGTGACAGTATTACCCATATGGCATCCTTCATTCCAGTATGGCTGTGGGTTGAAGTTGCTCGAGTCCACTCTGTAGTTGGACGGGTAGACTCTTAGAAGTTGGCGCTGGTTGAAACGCACCAACTCACCTGGCTTCAGCTGGATGATCTGGTTCATAACAGTCTCGTTGAGCGATGATACCTGCCAA